CCCATTCAACGGGCTTGTTTGTGCCATGAGAAAGCAGACATGTTAATTTTTCTAAAGGAAAACTGCTAAGTAAAAAGGTCCTCACAATGTAACAGTGAATATTAGACACTGAATTTTTTTTGTTATGTAAGAGGAAAAATGTAAATGGAAAAATCAGAGCTTAAAATAAAACTCAAGATTTGTACTTTTTTATGTTGTGTAATTTTCTTTTTCTTCAATATTGATATTAAAAACTGGTATCGAAAAAAGTATCGTTCAGGAACCGGTATCGAAGTGAAGGTATCGGTATTGGTACCGGAACCGAAAATTTTTGAACAATACCCAGCCCTAGTCATCCCATGTGGACAAAATTCACAAGCAATTTATATTTATCAAAGATAAAATTACGACAAAATTATTGTGGTTAATTACTCACATTGATATATGTACTACATGAAAGATGATATATATGGAATTCTCTTTTCAGAACTAGATTTTTTTTTTTTATGGCGTTAAGAAAAAATAATTTCTCTTTAATTCATCTAGGGGTCTTGAATGTAATCAGAGATGTCCCCCCCAGAATAATTTGCATACTACAGATACTAGGGCTGCAACAAAGGATTATTTTCCAAATTGATATTCTGTTGATTATTTTTTCGTTTAATCGATTAAGAATCGGATAGTCTAAGGTTCCTTAAAGAATATTTTTTATAAAAATTAAGCCAGGAGAATCTAAAACTTCTGGATAGAGCATGTTGACAGGGGAAAATGTTTTTATTTATCTTAAATGCAAAATGTTAATATATTTTTTTTACAATCTTGATATAATTACTGCTCTAAGTGGATTTCTCTGTCAGTCTCTATACTCCAGTTAATTGTTAATGGATGGCCACCATTACCAGGAGATTAGTTGACGATTATTTTAATAATCAATTAGTCACGATTAATCTGATTAATTGTTTAAGCGCTAATAGATAAATCAACATTGGTAAGAAAAAAAGTAATTTTAACAAAAAAAAACAAAAAACATAGAAAAATATAGATTAAGAGTTCAATAAGCTGATTTTAACCTGAACTAAAACTACATAAATCAATCCTATGTTATGAAATTCAACTTAACAGTAACAGACACACACAATGGATGAGGATGTGTATAAATTAAATCCGGGGAGGATATATTTTCCATTCTGTGTGGCTCCAAACCAACTTTAAGTGTATTTCTGCCACCTGATGGTGTGGAATGCGAAAGTCGGTGCCCTTCTCCAGTTATATTTAATGTGACACAAATTGAGGGCATCTGCGATTTGAAAATTGTTTTGTTAAAAATATTATTATATTGCAAGTGCAATAAATTCCTTAGCCTTAGTTTACATACGGTAAATATATATTTTAGCCCAGCTTAATGTGATTTTTTTTTTTTTTATCTATTTGATCCTAAGAAAGTCTGCTTCAGAAATGTGAGATGCAATTTTCTTCATGCCAGATGTTGCAGGATATACAGTAGATGCAGTATTTCTTTTTGTTGAATCATGCACAATGAGCCAAGCGAGGCCTGCAGTACATAAAGTATTTTTCTGGGTTCTCTGTGACCTCCAGGATAAGATATTAATGTGCTCAATGTGTCTATGCAGAGCAATTCTGTTTTGTCCTTATTTAAATAACGTGGTTTGCTGCAGAACGATAGTCAGAGGAAAATCTTTGTAACCTTTTCCATTAATACAAGGATTATTTCTCATCTGTTTAAGATTTATCTCAATTGGACCGTAGCTTGTTGTTTCTTCATGATATCCCAACATGGATAATAAATTTTTTTAAATATAGGTCAAGGTTAGTTTTAATTGCTATTTCCCTTCTCATAAATGAAATTTTTACTTGATGTATCCAAGTGGTCTTTTTCCAATAATGGGATTAGTTTAATCCCAATTTTTAGCTTTAGAAAAGGAAAAACAAAAACATTTAAGCTAGACAATACTTTTTACAGCACTGTTAGGTCAGAAATTAGAATAGTTTCCAAGAATTTCTAATATATTTTTACGTCATGTTTTTTCCTTCTAATGTGCCATTTGCAGTTCTGTGGTAGAGCGGACACACTAGAGCACTGTTAAACCTTTTGCCTCCAGATTAAACTCTAATCTGTGCCACATTTTCCTCAGTCTGCCCCCTTTAGATGAGAAGAGGCAGATTTTATAACAGATTCTGTCCATGTATCCCAAGCCTTTGATTTAGAGCTTGATTGGTGAAACTCTTCTTCGCACTGCTATTTAGTTTTGTTTTTATTTCGGGATAATTTAACATTTTCAGAAATTTAATACCTAAAAATTCAGAGTGGAGTTGAGGTCATTTTGGTCCTGGATGGGATGAGCCTCCATTATAACAGGAGTTGGAGGCTGTGCAGAACACAATCTATGGGTGATTTAGTGAGAACTGTTGATTTGCATAGATCTAGATATTTCTTTACCTTTAAATGCCTTTTCCTACAGTAAGCTGCATCTCCATGTTGATTAAAGTTGAGGTTTCTGATGTTGAAGCTACTGCTCTAGTGAATGGATTTAGTAAATGTCCTGCAGGAAACCCATTCAACTCTGCTGTTAGGCTTTTCCTTTTAATTAGGATTATCCCAATCTGTTGGGAAAAGCAGGTGAGGGGTGTGACCCTCTAAGAGAAAACACCTGTTTCTCCTTTTTAAAGCAGTTGTAAAGGATTAAACCGAACTCTTCATAGTATTATTTTTCAGGGCTCTTTGTTTATTGTTGGGCACCTTTCAGAAAGCCACTAAAAAGCCCTTGGTTCAGTTGAACCACACTACATGTGGGCAGACGCGCTGTCCTTACCACTTCCATCTGTCTCTAACGTACATTTGTGGTGCGTCAGCCACAGATGGAGGAGCTGATGGTCTTAGGTTACACTATCCCCTGTTGGCGGTTGGTCACGTTAGTTTTAGCAAACATCCCTGATCCTGCTGGTAAACAGAAAATACACTAACCAGATGCTATCTACCTCATTCTGTTTTACTCCGCTGACACAGCTTTAAACCCAAAACAACAGAACAGGGATTAATAATGCATGTGGTTTTTGAACAGAGAAATTGCTTTTTTTTTACGGTTTTTATTTTTTTCTGTAGAACATAAAGGCTCTTATAAGAACGTCTATTTCTCTGTTTTTAAATAGTTTTTTTTTTTTTTTTTTTTTTTTGCAGATGTACAGTATTTTTACAAATTTAAATTAGGGTAACAATAGAATTAAATATAAATAGAATGCATATGAAGTGGTCAGACGCACTTTTTTTGAGTTAACCAGAAACAAATTTTATGCACCGTTTACAGTTAAACCTAAACTTCTTCCCCCCTTGTGTAGTTAATCTCTCAATTAAATCTGTAGAAATATTCCACAATATCTTCAAGATACAATCTTCTTATTCTGAGAAATAAAAAAAATAAATAAAAATAGGGACATTTTCGGCTTATTGGTCCATGGGATAATTATTTGTCAATTCTGGCCTTGTATTTTGAACCTAATGAAGAAAACTTATTCTGAATATATTGTTTCAGTGATATTCCATTAATAATTTTTAAGGACAATGACATAAAAAGGAAGTTTAAGTTGTTTAAATTAATACCAAAACGCTAAATAATAAGGCCGAAACACAGCAATGCATTTAGTGTGCAGTATTGGACACTAAATAAAAAACGTATCATGTTCAGATTGCACTCAGTTGATGACTGGACTCTGGTGTGCGATTGCTTGGTTGGAAAGAAAACCTGCAGCCACTCGGCCCTTTCTGGAACCAGTTTGAGACCCCTGCCTTATGCTGTTACTCCTTCATTACAGGGGTAGAGGGCAGGATGACCTGTCCCTCCGCACATTGCGTTTAGTGCCACTTCCTCCACCGAGGACCTTGTACCACTGGATGAAAGTTAGGAATAGAGAAGAATGGCACGCTGGTGTTGCAAACATCCCCAGTGGATTTAGAAGCTAAAATAAAAATGTGCTGACACCACTAACTGGAGTAAGTGAAAGGCAAATTGCTTGCTTTAATTTTTGTGTAATTTTTCCACTGAATTTCATTGAATTTTGTAATGCTTGGTAAGGCAAGGCAAGGCAAAGTTATTTGTATAGCACAATTCAGTACAAAGACAATGCAAAGTGCTTTACATGATTAAAATACAGGAAGATAAAACAGAATCAAAGCAAGTAGGAAAAAATAAAAAAAATTAAAATAAAATAAAAAATCCAGAAACAAAAAAGAATATTAAAAACTGTTTTTTAAGTTTTAGTTGAACTGTTTAACTAACGATAATGGCTTTGTAATGCTTCCGCATTGAAGTAAAACAGGAACTGTCATTTCTGCATGTCACCTTCTGTGACATGTTACATTTTTTTAATGTAATTTTTGTTTATAATAAATTACTTCCAGACATTTGTGACACTGCTGTTTTTGTTTGGAGCGATGATAATATTGTGCTCACACTGAGCCTGGTTCTGCTGGAGGTTTCTTCCTGTTAAAAGGGAGTTTTTCCTCTCCACTGTCGCTACAAGCATGCTTTTAGTAAACTTTTAATCAATTTAACTGTATAATCTGGTGAACTGTAAAGTGCCTTGAGATGACGTGTTGTGAATTGGCACTATTGAAATAAACTGAATTAAATTTAACTGATAATATTGAACTCATCTCTAATATTATGGTGATCAACCTGGTAATGGAGCTTTATACTGGATCCTGCTGCATTGGAACAGTGTAGGTAATATTTAGACTTCACACAGGAGGCACTTGTTTTGTGAACAGGGTTTTACAGTTTAAGCAGTGGTCTCACTGCTGTGGACATGGAATTTCCCTCTCAGTTTTAACCTTCCTGCATATGAAGCTTTTTTTTTCTTGCACCACTGTGACTAAGATTTTCCTCTTTCTTGCTGACTTCTATAAACACAGTTGTCACATTTCAGGTTTTCCAGCTCTCTACAGTGATGTTTACCTCATTGCTGTGCCTAAACTGAATATATTTTTGTTTCTTTTGCCCCTACAGTCTGAGAGAACACCAAGGCAAAGAAAAAGATGAAGTTTCTCACCATTGTGAGTTACTACTACACTCAACAGACGTGTAGACGCTCTTGTAAGGCTATCAAAAGCTGAAAACAGGTCGTTATTCAAAGGTAAGAGGACTTTTGGTTCAAATTTGACTTCAGCTTCAAAAGTATGGAAAAACTCAGCCCCTAGTTATATTTTATTTACTTGCTTTTAACCTGCAGCAATCATCCTGTGTGGCCGTTAGCAGTTTTCTGCTGCGTGAGTGCAGCAGAACAGATCTTAATCAAGGATGGGTATTGCTGTAAGTCGACAGCTCAAGGCGCATCCCTAATCTCTTTGGCACATTATACAGTAAATCAGAACTGTGGTTAAATCGAGTGCCTGCCAACTGGGTACAGCTAGTGTGTTGATTTATGACTGGAATTAGTATGAGAGCTTATTTCAATCTCTCTTATTTAGGTCTGAGACTGTTGAACCACTCCATGACACAGGCTTCTTTTTCTCTCTTGTTTTAATCCTGAGATATTCATGTAGTGCTTTGCGCATTGGTAGATCATTATGGAGACAAGCGGTCCAAAGGTCTGGCCGGTCTGTGACAGTTTTAGCTGCAGCATCCAATGGGAATGATGTCCCCATGCTGAGGCAGAGCGGATGCTGATGGATGGCCTAGCTTTCTGCCAGTTTTTAGTCCCACATTGGAGCCCTTGTTATGAAAATATGGATGGAAACAGGCTGACGGACCGCAGAGAGATGGCATCAGGTCTTGTGATGGATGATCACCTGCTTTGCATGCATAAGAGTTTGAGACAGCAGACTTTCTGATCTAAGGAACTACAACCAGAATTCTTAGAAATTTAGCTTTTCAAATTGTACCACAGTGATGCTCAAAAGTATACAAACCCTTTGAAAGGCAGCGATATTAGGACATAGAGAATCATGTTTACTAAGTTGGATTCCTGACACTTGTTGCTTCAGATGATGCTGTTTAAAAAGAGGGTTTGGTGAGTCAGAATCTTATTGTGCAAAACTACAAGTCAGGAGAAGGTTTGACCCTTTATAGGGCAAGTTACCGTTTTGGTAATTTGCATACAATACCTGCAAATGCAGCCCCCCCCCATCCAGTGTTGTATAAAGTACTGAAATCTCGGAGTCAAGTAAAAGTACCTCTCCAAAATATGACTTTGGTAAAAGTCCGAGTCACTGACTGAAATGTAACTTGAGTAAAAGTCTTAAAGTATCTGGAATGGCTTGTTCTTAAGTATAAGAATTACTGTAAAAATAGATGTACTCAAGTAATGTAGTGAAAACTATAAGTAAAAAGTAAGTGCAGTTTGAATGACATTTTTTTACATTTTGTTAAACTTTGAAGGTTAAATTCACTTAAAATAATTTAATAACCAAGTGTAGGATAAATTTAGACTGGCTTTGCGAAATAGGCGTATCCTATTGGTGTTGATGAAAAAGCCCAGGCAAGACCTGACTTTATAGTCAGTAGGTGGGGTCAAAACTACGGTGGCCCTGAAGTGCAAACTGCAAATACAAATCTAAAAGCGCAACTACATTAAGGAAATCGCAACTACATAAAGCAAAGCGCAACTACATTAAGAAAAACACAATTACATTAACCTACCGGAAAAGGTAGGTACCAGTGGGAAACATGAGACATCGCTGATTGGATGACGGTGCCGTTTGACCCTTGAACCGGAAGTCATTCTGCCTGCTGCGGCTTTTGAAAACATGGATATTGTTGGCGCCCCAAACATAGATGCCGTTATCCAGGAATATTTTGAATCAGGACATACGTACGAGGTGATACTGGATATGCTCAAGAATAATCAAGAAATTTCAGTTAGTTTGCGTACACTGAAAACACACTTAAAAGAAGCTGGACTGTTCAGACGACGCAACTTCCGGTTCAAGGGTCAAACGGCGCCGCCGTCCAATCAGCGATGTCTCATGTTTCCCACTGGTACCTACCTTTTCCGGTAGGTTAATGTAATTGTGTTTTCCTTAATGTAGTTGCGCTTTGCTTTATGTAGTTTTGTTTTTCTTAATGTAGTTGCGCTTTGCTTTATGTAGTTTTGTTTTTCTTAATGTAGTTGCACTTTTAGATTTGTAGTTGCAGTTTGCACTTCAGGGCCACCGTACAAAACACTTGCGTTTCTCTCGCTCGTTCTTTTTTTTTTTTTTTCTTAGTAACTAAACCAAACATTGAAAATGTATCAGAGTAAAAGTATGCAATTAAGTTCGTAAATGTAGTGAAGTAAAAGTGAAAGTTCTCAAAAAAATGTATACTCTTGGAAAGTATAAAGTACTCAAAAATATACTTAAGTACAGTAGTAAAGTATTTTTACTTCGTTACTATACAACACTGCCCCCATCAGTCTGTTAGGTCTGGAAGCACAAGATTTAAATTCAGCCATACAGGAAAGATACTGCTAATTGACTGTACACATCTGTCTGGCAATTGATTAATTAGATGAGCCCTTGGAGGATATGTTAACTACTTTGTATTTAGTTATTTAAAAAGTTTAATAAATTAAAGAAAAAAATAAAAAATGTGAATGTCTGTGCATGCATTAGTGATCTAAGGTTATGTTTTAACTAAGAAAAGTGTTTCTTTCACTCACTGTTTTTCAGGAATTTCTTACCCTTCAACTTTTTTTTTTTTTTTTTACATATTAGAGAAAGTGACCGTTTATTACATTGACCTTGATTTTTGTGATCAAAATATAATTTTTAAATGTAAGATCTTGTCCTTTCCTTTAATATCAATCTTGATTTGGCAATTATTTTAATTACTACCCTATAAATGGTTAAAAAAAAAACCTGGGACAGCAGAAAATCCAAAGATCTAAGCTGGAAAGAAAGGCTGGTAAAACCCAGATTGGATTCTACATGTGAGAACAATCTCACCCATATCACTGAAGGGTAACTGTGTAGTTATTTGATCATATCCAGATTTTCGCCCTATTTGTTTGATTGTCCTGCAAAAAGCCACATGATCTTCAGTTTCCTTTGCTGCATCGGCCTTTATATCCACTGCCTCTTAGCCATGTTAGCCCCTCTTTATAGAGGTGGTATTAATGGGGATTTGCAGCCTGCACTGGTGGCCTTGAGTTTGTTTTTTCTGTATCGGACTCTGAGAGTGGTTTCTATTACTTTGGCTGCAATTCCACGAAGGCTTTACTTGTGGTACATTCAGTGCTTCCCAGACCTCCCATTGAGACAATGGTGTGAAGAATGACCGTGAACTCCAGCTCAGGCATCGGGGCTCAAGGACAAACCATGTTCCTCCAGTGTGACCCATTTCTAGGAGCAGGACAGATTTGTGTGCAAGTCTGTGGCACAGCCTAGCCTACTTCTTCTACCCTACTTTCCCCAGTCTTGTTGTTGGAGCTGATCAGCTGAGTTACACAGACTACACTATCTTTATCACTAAATTTAGAGGAGATGGTAGATTATAAATTAAAGGGATAGTTCAGATATTTGTACATGTGAATCTCAGTGAAATTATGAGTAATACTGTCCTTACATGAAAGTGTTATCACTGCAGGGTTGTAGAAAAGTATATATATCCTCCCCTAACGAAATGGAAGATGTTTTTACTGATGTTCTTACATCTCCATACAATTTAGAATCAGGTAACGTCCTTTTCAAGTCAAAGCTCCACAAATGCACCAGATGCAAATTCTAACTGATGCATCTCTGATGTATGTTTTGAAGTTTGTTTGAAGCCAGCAGTTATTTGTTATGCTGATTTTGTATTTTTTTTTTTATTGCATAAATGTTTATAGATATTGCTCCAGTTTTCATGCATTAATACATCTCTTTTAGAGTCCTTGTATTAATTCACTTCATACTTTATCATTTTTGACTTGTAATAGCTTGATGGCTCAATACCTCGTGTTTGGGCTGCTCTAATACAGGGGGGGAAATAGCTAAATAGTTTTCATCTCTAGCTGTTTTTCCAAAGCTTTTTCTTTTTGTCCTTTCTCTTCATTTTCTTACTAACAAAGGAGGTTCAGGGCTTTGCAGAGTTTCTTTGGTCAGAGGAAATAGCAGAGGACGGAAGCAGGGAAAAAAGGGAGGTGTATCTGTATCAGAGAGAGGGTGGGCAGCCTGCGAGGAAGAGGAGGAGGGAGAGCATGAGAGCTGAGGAAGGGGAGGGGACTTAACTCTTATTCACATTGGTGGCATTTGTCTTGAGAATGAGCTGCTTCTTTTATTTTTTTTTTGCATAGTGATTCAGGAGTTTTTTTTTCTTTCTTTTAGTGGGAGAGAAGGTTTTAGAAACAGAGCATAGTGAGTGAGGCAGTGAGCGAGTTTAGGCTGTGCAATGAAGAGGAGCTGGTTAGACACCAAAGCAGCCATGCAAGGAACAAACTGGGGTAAGAAGCTGTGAGGGTTGCCTTTTATTTACTTTTATGATGGGATGTTTAACAACTGGTTTGCTGTTTAACCTTTCTAGCTAATGACTGTAAATTTTGCAGGTTTGTTTTATATTAACATAAAAGTTGATATTGTGAAAAGGAAAAAAAATATGCAAGCTCTTATATTTTTATCAATAAGATAAAATACAACTTTTAATACAAATTTTAAAGGTGTAAGTAAGCAGTACTCTTACAACCCCCATCCTTCCAAGCTTGATGTTGTTCACCATTTCTTAGCTTCACAGACCTGCTAGAAGCTGGTTAAAACTCCTGTTTGTATAGAATCCTTTCGTGTCATGATTGGTGATCAGAGGCAAAAAGTAATGCGTTTTGGACCTGTGGAAATCTACTACGTTTTTTTTTTTTTTTTCTACAGTGAAATCTATCATTTATTGTGCACCACTCTAGATGTTTGGTGATATTATTTCTGAAAAAATAATAATTTAATGAAAAAATTAAAGCTATGACCTTAAACATTCTGTTTAAAAAACTTAAAAGTCGGGTCTATCTTTCATGTTCAAATAATCTATTATTAGAAATAATGCTGGTTTTCTTTTTAAAGTAAGTGGCTTTACGTAAAACGACAACAAAAAAACAGTGACCGTTTCTCATTTCACAAGAAAGCGAGCACGGACTTGTGATCTCGCCAAGTATGTTCTTGAGAAGAACACAGGAAAGTGTGGACTCTGGGA